AAGCAGTTTGATTTCATCTTTAGATTAAGGATTTGGATATAATTTTTATTTTTACATATTTTACACTTGAAATAAAATGAAAGAGACTTCTTTAAAGAAGAATAGATAGTTAAAGTCAACAGATAATAATAAGAAAATAGTACCTATCAGCCTTACCTCCTAAAGATTAGGAGGAAAATCATTTCAAAATTACGTTATTTCAATAAATTTTTATTGAAAAAGACTAAACTACTCTATTTTTAAAGCATGTATTAAGATGATTTTTGTTTTTTTTCCTCTTAATTTTTTAGAGATAAAGCAGACAAACACTAATCCCTAATAATAATAAGGCTAAAATTGTAAAAAAAATATTTATATTCCTTAAAATATAAAAAAAATAATTATTATTTTAAGACAAATTTTAAATAAAAAATGTTTATTAAAGATTTTGGGTGATCTGCTTGGACTGCATTAATTCTTGAACAATAATAATTGGAAGTCAGTAAATTTAGATCTACTGCATTGCGAATATATTTCTAATAATTAGCTCCCAAGCTTTTTTGAATAATTCAAGGAGAAAATTGAGGAACTCTTTTTAGCCCTAGATTTTCTAATAGATTTTATGGTAATTATTTCCATGACAATAACAATTAAGCAATTGTTTTGTAGTAATAAAGATTTGTTTGGTTTGGTTTGATAATGACACTTTATAGATGTTTTAGCCTTAAACAACTAATAAAGTAACAGGTTATAGAAAACCAAGATATCTGATATTTTAAATACCAGAAATAATAATAATAAATTAAAATACCATTAGTGAATTAACATGTAAAGAATATTTATTAAGAGTATTTGAATAATTTCATAAGAAATCCTAACATTTAAAGAACCAAAAAATTCTAATTTTCACTTTTTTCTTAATTTATTTAAAAAAATACTTCTATAAGTTAATTTCAAATTACTTATCAATTATTAGATATCAATTTTAACTTTCAATTAACAATTATAACTATCATTTATTTTTATCAACTAAACCAAATAGACGCTGAATGAAAAGTTCTATAAAACAGTAATTTGTAGTAATTTGTAATTAATAATCCCATTTAATCTCAAACTATTGTACCAATTACGGTTGATGAAATCAAAGTTTAGTGTTATTTTCATGATTTTTGGGTCACATTTGAGTTGTCTTCAACGCATGACTTCACCCTCTAGTCTCGTTGAACGTCGTTAAAAGGCACAGAAAAAAGAGGGATTTTTCTTTTTCAGGAGCAGTAGTATGCAAATAGAGAACATCATAGGGAGTTGTGTGACACCGATACGTGCCATTTTTTACCGTTTTAGAAGGGAGGGTCTCAAATGTTAATTCTCTAGACTTGAAGGGGGCAAAATGACATTTTCGTCAATATGAACGTTTTTGCGACGTCCGAATTTGGGAAAATTATTCTAAAAAAAAAAAAAGAAAGAATTTTTTTTCTTCCACGTAAGAAATTCAGTCAAAGCAGGTGGCAATTGACAAGCAATTCCTACTTTGAAAAATCAAACATCATTTCCTTCTTCCACTTGACTTTTCGCACTTGCAGAACCTATTGTACAGAGCTTCTTCTTTACCATTTCCAATATTCTGTGTGTGGATTTTGGTTTTGAGAATGGAAAGTTTCTTCAAGATGGTGCCTTTGTTCCTCTGCTTTCTCCTTATTGCAAATGTATCAGAACTCAAAGCTGCACAGGAAAAATGCCAGACGAAAAGGTGCAAACACCAAACCATCCGTTTCCCTTTCCGACTAAAAGGCCTGCAACCAGACCTCTGTGGCTATCCCGGGTTTGATATATCCTACATAGACAAAGAGCAGATGGTGCTAGAACTACCACAGAATGTCAAGTTGGTGGTGAAGCATATAGATTATAGAGAACAGACGATTCAGTTATCCGATCCAGGAGGTTGTCTGCCGCTACAGCTTCCCAATCTCAATTTATCTGCATCTCCCTTCCAGTATTCTATCTACCCCCCACAAAATTACACTGTTTTCAATTGTTCAAGGGAGGAAAATTGGTATTATGAAGATGATATATACTACAGGATTCCTTGCTTAAGCAGTCCAGAATTCCAAGTTCTAACCACACCTTCTAATTTTTCACCTCAATTTAGCCTCGTGAATTGCAGCAGAACATTGCTGAACATTTCTGAGACAGCAGTATATGCAAGGATGTTGCGTTACAAGACAGGTGATATTGTTCAGTTAAGTTGGTCCAAACCAAACTGCACAAAATGTGAAGCAGTAGGCAGGAAATGCAAATTGAGGAATGATAACATACCTGGCGAAATACAGTGTTTTGGTACCACCAAGAAAGAAAGAGGTATGCTTGTAGCATTTCCAAATATTATCAATGACCTCATTTCTCACTCAGTTTAGTTGTTTTTCTTTGATTTAGCCTTAGTTGTTGTGTTGCTTCGATGTTTGTTCTTTTTCCTCTTAGAGATGAGTGTCGTTTAGGATTTAGTTTTCCCTGACCACTGGCCAAAAGGCTATGATACATTGGTTTTCATATTTTGCATATTACATTGGTATTGATTTGAGGAACATATATGAAGCAGCTAAATTTCCTATGTTTTACAGAGAGGCGAAAAATTCTATTGGCTATGGGTATAATTCTAGGATCCTGTCTTCTTGGATTGATTCTCTTTGGACTATATCATATTCACCGCTCACGTAAAGCAGCGAAAGAGGCCCAGCTCAAGATTGAAAAGTTTTTGGAGGATTATAGAGTGCTCAAGCCCTCAAGATACTCTTACGCTGACATCAAGAGAATAACAGATCAATTCAAGGACAAACTAGGAGAAGGGGCCTATGGAACTGTTTTCAAAGGAAGGCTTTCCAATGATGTTTTGGTTGCTGTGAAGGTCCTCAACAATTTCAATGCAACTGGTGAGGAGTTCATTAACGAAGTGGGATCAATGTGCAGAATCCACCATGTCAATGTTACTCGTTTGATTGGATTTTGTGCTGATGGAAATAAGCGGGCTCTTGTTTACGAGTACATGCTAAATGAGTCCCTAGAGAAGTTCATATTTGTAGCTAAGGAAGAAGATCACCACCTTGGTTGGGAGAAGCTTCAAGATATTGCTATGGGGATAGCCAAAGGAATTGAGTACTTGCATCATGGTTGTGACCAGCAAATCCTTCATTTTGATATCAAGCCTCACAATATCTTGCTAGACAAAAATTTCAATCCAAAGATATCTGATTTTGGTCTAGCAAAACTGTGTTCCAAGGAACAAAGTGCTGTTTCCATGACAGCAGCTAGAGGAACCATGGGATATATTGCACCTGAGGTATTGTCTAGAAACTTTGGAAAAGTTACACATAAATCAGATGTTTATAGTTTTGGAATGCTATTGTTGGAAATGGTAGGAGGGAGGAAGAATATTGATGCTACAGTTGAGAGTACGAGCCAAGTTTATTTTCCAGAATGGGTGTATAATTGCTTGGACAGAGGAGAAGAGCTGAGGATTAGAATAGAAAACGAAGGGCATGCCAAGATAGCAAGAAAACTTACAATTGTTGGACTTTGGTGCATTCAGTGGTATCCAGCAGACCGTCCATCGATGAAAGCTGCGATTCACATGTTAGAAGGAGAAGTAGACAGTTTGACAGTGCCACCAAATCCCTTCGGCCATGCAGTTGCAGTGCAGATGAGTGCCAACATACCTAGGAAACCAAATAACAGAGAACTACCAGTTATCTTTGAATTGGAATAAAATACTTTTACGTATTCAAATTCTACATAACTATTTTCCTCTAAATAATTGGACTATATAATGTAAACCAAGTAGTTCTTTTCCACTTTTCCTATCCCTTCATCCATATCAAATTAAAAATGTAATCTTGAGTCCTGAATGTTTTATAGACCATTTAAAAGACTTGTATCAACTGAACCAGCTATCATGCCAATATAGAATGTCTTTACAAGAAGGATTTTTCTTCTTTATTTATTTATTTTGTTTATCTGTATTCCAGTAGATCAACATTTTCCCAAGTCTGATAACTGAACTTTTCATGAATCCTGTGGCAGCTATTTCATGCTTTTAACTCCGTTCTTGCTCTTCTCAACCTCATTGGTTCAATTTATTTCTAGTTTTTTCTAGTATGTTGAAGAGGGAGTTAGAATAGGTCTCTTCTTATCTTTCTCAAAATCCCTTTTACCTAGGAAAGAATTACGAGGGATAGAGCATGTATTCCTATGAAGATCCAGACTAGCATCCACCAGTCGAAGTGTATACCTATCATAAGATATTTCCTCCACAAAGAATTTCCCAGATTGGGTGAGGAAAGTTGTGCGATTGTTCTTACAAACTAATTCATACCCTGGGTAACCACACTCAATTGGGTCGCTACCTAAACGAAAAGGGTAACTGATACTAAGGTTTCCACAGGAAGAAGGGGCACAGGGCTTGTTTTGGCCTTGCGCAACAGAAGCATCAAGAAATAGAGACAGAGCAAGGGTCATAACGCCCAATGCTCCTACAAGCTTTGCTCTTAACATGCTAAAGGTTGAACAGGAAAATATAAGACCCTCTTCTTATGTTTTTATGATAGATGACACAAACCCAGATTCTATGGTTTCGTGTTTTAATTCAAACTGGATCTTTCTCTGAGGCAATAAATCAAACACCTTACATGCATGCTACCCAAACACATGATCAGATAAAAGCCAACTCACAGAATTCAATTCCACAACATCAGGAAAACGTCCAGGTCCTACTGTCCAAGTTGCTGACTTTGAATTTTCAAAGGACTAATAATGGAAATCGACTCGTCACTGTTAACAGGAAGAGACTGTCGCGTTTCACGAATATAGGAGTCAGAATAGCACTAGAGATATTTTCGTATTTTGC